GCCAATAATGATAAAAATTGATTGACGTCGAACTCATGTGAGAGAATTATAATACCATTAATTTTTTAATTACTAAAATCAAAATTCGAAGACTTTACATAACTCTTAAATGGATGCATTGGAACACGAAAAGCTGTTTTGGGAGTCAAAACGACACTTTTTTTTTTTTTTTTTTTTGAAGTTACCCAACCCTAATTATCTCTTTGAGACGAGTTGGCTCCCTCCGGTATCCCCACGAGCTTCGACTCTTTGAGCCGGCTATGGGACTAATCCGGAGTGCGGGAGAACAGTGATGGCTAAAGGTTCAGCCCCCTCCCCATTTAATTGCTCGATACGACACTCTTAAATTGTTGTCAAAATATAACTATATAGTTGCTCGATAACCCAACTTCATTTAATCATTCCATTTGCAAGTTGACAGTTATTATTCAAAATGCTCACATTTAAAACGATAAGAGTACAAACCAAATGAAACTCTAATTTTTTAATTACTAAAATCAAAATTCGAAAAGTTTACATAAATTATATAATACTTATACAGGTGATAAAAAGAATTACAATATGATAATTGTTTTTTAATAATAAAAATTATAAATGATTTAATCATTAGTATTTTAAAATTCATAGTAGATTCATTGACTCAGATAATAACTAATAGGTAAGTAATTCTTATTTGTCTAGCGCCATTTTTTTCAATATTTCACTAATTTCAAAAATGTTAAATTTATTATTAATAAATTATAGTTATGCATTGCAATTAAACAACGAAGTTTTAATGCAATCTTTAATGATTGGGTGCACAAAAAATTAAAACTTAACAATAAATAAACAACCATCTATATTGATTAATTATGTGTGTGCTATTATGATTGAATACTACAAAGTAAAAGACCTTCCGTATTCTTTCCATTATGATTATTGTTGGTAAATGAGAAGTCTTTGAACATGCTTTTATGACTAATAAAGATAATTAAATGTCTTTTTATGATTCCCACATTCAACTTCATTACCCCATTCATCTTTTGTAGTAAAAATTAATCATGAGTGTTCTTTTTTCATTTTTTCTCCTTTTTTTCGTTTAGAATGGAATCTTAAAGTGAAAGGACTCAACTCATACTGCATTGGACCTTTGCGAAAATTCCAGAGTTCCATTTCCATACCATTCATTATGAGAAAAAATCCATTAGAAACACGAACTCCTTCGAGTAAAAGAAGGAATAATGGTCATTTTGGTGATAGGTTATGTAATTACTCCCCTACAGACGGTAATACGTCCTCTCCAACGACCTTAGAAAATCTGACTCCTTTAAATTCCTGCTCCCTTGGCAGGTAAGCTTTTTCGTTAATTATTTTTTCGTGAACATGTTTATTTGGCGTTTGTAAATATGCCCTTGCGTCAATATTTTTTTTGCCCATGCAGACTTTCTGGAATCGAAAATATCCAAGATGAATTCGGCATCAACAGACAAGCACTTTGTGATATTTCTAACAGTACGTAACTATATTCAGTGCCTGTTTGGATCCTCTTATTTTTAAGTTAGAAGCTACTTATAAGCATAAGCTAGGCCAAACAAATTTTGGGAAAAGCTCTTATAACGAAAAGCTCTTTTTTTTATAATGAAGAAAAAAGCTGAAAATTAAAAGCTCCTAGGAGGAGTTTTTTTTAAGCTCTTATCTGTTTTTCTTGAATTGTGTGCTTTTAGCTTATGTTTTTAAGCTCTTTTTTTTAGCTTTAGCTTATAAGTAGCTTCTAGCTTAAAAATAAGAGGATCCAAACAGGCTCTCAATCATCTATAAGCATTTTTTCCTCATTAACACGTTACGTGAAATTAAAAGATTCTGATATATTTGTTGTTCTAAGTAATTTGTTTTTTCTGTGAGCAGAGACTCCCTTCAAAAGTAAAAGAAATAAAGGTCGTTTGCAAAGTAACTTATGTAATTCCACCTCTGCAAATTTTAATTCATCTATACCGTCAAATGGTACGAACAAACCAACTGTAGAAAATTGTTCTCCAAGGACTGTGTCCCCCATAAACAGGTTAGTTTTGGTCGTCATTTTCTATTTTATAGATCCAGCGCAATTGTTCCAAGTGACTTATTATAAGTTCATTTTATTTTTCAGCATTGGTTCAAATGCGCTGCATAAGATAAACAGTGCGTGGACATGTTCAAATGCTTCCTACTCAGTTGCAGACGACTATAATAACTCATGTCCAAGTCAAGGTAGTGTTCTTTTCAATTGTTAATTGTTGATTGCCATAAATACTATTATATGTAACGAAGTAATAAATCTAAAATTTATTTGGTTACAAATTTATCTCTTCTTATATGTTTTGTAGACAGCAGAAATGCTAGGATGAGGCGCAAAAAAATCATTCGTCAGAAAAGGAATCATACACTATTTGTGAATTCTCTCAGTATCAGTAAAATGGCAGATTTGGATGGTAATTATCTCAGACGGTTTTAAACCATTTGTTTCATCATAAATATATATTCAAAACTATTGAAGATATAAATTTTTTCACACTTGAGAAATAAAATTTTGTAATGTGGTAACAGGAATTGATGTCGCTGATGATATGACTGCACGTTCAACTATTACTGCTTCATGTGATGACAACTCCAATTTGCGGTACAATTATCGTTTTTGCAAAAAAAAATAAAAAAAATTCTGCTGTTAGCTAATTCTTTAGATGCATTAATGTCTGACTTTTTTGTTCTTTTAAAATTGGGATTTTGTTCCCCTAGTGATTATTGTCCAGGTAATGCTTCAAGGGATAATTGTCAACAAGTTCAGATCATGTGTGAGGATGGTATTGTACTCCTTCAATCTTTTTAGTTTAGATTAACATGTGGCATAATATGTTAGCGCGGCATCATTTGGTATTGCGAAAAATAGTCAATTTCTGATTCTGACAATGTTTGAAAATAATTTAAAACGTTAATATATTATGGTTGTGGATGGTATTGTACTCCTTCAATCTTTTTTATTTACTTTTTTGTTTCTCTTAACAACATTATATAAATAAGTGTCAAGTTTTCTATTTCTGGATTACATACGACATGATATGTTAGAGCGGCATCACTTTTTATTGCACAAATAATTTAATATGTGATTCTGTTGGTGTTAGAAATTTTTTTTATATAATTAATATGTGGTAGTTGTTTTTCGTAATTTTTTTGTTTGTCCAAAACGATGATATACAGAAATTTAATGTTGTCTATTTCTCTATTAAAAAATGATGATATATAATTAGATTATATTAACGGACGGCATATGTTAGCGCAGCATCACTTCTTAATGCGCAAAAAATTAAATTTGTGATTATGTTGGTGTAAGAAATTTGTTTTTATATAATTAATATGTTGTAGTTGTTTTTTGTAACAGGTATGCTTTTTTGTGTTTTTTTGTTCTTTTATATTTATAACTTTATGTTTACATCTCCAGCATATTATAATTCAGAGCTTCACGCTACGATGAAGGTGTTGATTTACAAACAACGATGATTAACCAACGAAGGCCGACAACAATTTCGTTCTTTTTTCCCCGAGCATCGCACGAGTAATTCACTAGTTATATAGAAGACACAACCTCATCTACACATAACTTATTTAATTAAATTTGAGTAGGGTAAAATCACATGAACAATCAAGCTCTATCTATCAAATTTTAGTATAATTATTGTGTTTACGAAAATTCGAACTCAAAATTAGTATTTAAGCTGGAAGAATCCCTTGCTAGTTGATTTATATGCTTGGTAAATGCAATTAGTATTTAAGCTGGAAGAATCCCTTGCTAGTTGATTTATATGCTTGGTAAATGCAATTAGTAGAACATGAAGAAACACCACAAGGTGAATATTTTACTTTATCTCAACATATATTGTAATATGTTTAATTGATTTGTTTGTCTTAAATAGTTATATAATTACATATTTATCCCCATTTACTTGATTTTTTTATTAATTTAAAATTATTTAAATAATTTCCATTTAAAAGCAAAATTGACAATTGTATAATAAATTTGTCGTGTTAGTGTTAAATTTTTTAACACAAATAACTATTTATATTTAAAATATGGGGAAGGATATTGTGACAACCAAGTTTTGTTACTACCAAGTGACTACCAATCAATTTCACCGTTAAATAGATTATGTTGATCCAACGGTTATATTTATTTCCACCTTTTCATGGTTATGATTTCCCATATTTAATGCTAAAAGCATTAAATATGGGAAACCATAACCATACAAAGGTGAAAATAAATATAAAGTATTAAATTTGAAAAATCATCAAAGATAAAAATAAATATAACCGTTGGATCAATATAATCGATCTAATGGTGAGATTGATTGGTAGTCACTTGATAGTAACACAACTTGGTTGTCACAATATCCTTCCCCTTAAAATATTCATATTCATTTCAAATTTGTGTCTATTGAAATACGCAGATCACGCCTTACCTTCTCTTTCCATGCGCACTTTCATCAGGCTCTCTTCTAAATAGAAAATATACAATCGATTTTATTTCTTTATAATAAATAATAACAACTTTTAATCCTCAATATGTTCAGATCTTTCTTAAAAAAAAATATACACACACAAAAACAAACCGATAGTGATTTATCTTCCTAATCAACAAAGAGAAGAAAATAAAAATTTTGAATCAAGATTTCATTTTATATGAGATCAAAATATAAGGAAAGATAATCTATGAAGAATTGGGGGGAATCTGGTAAAGTGGATGGTAATCAAGCACATAGCATATAACAATCATGAAAATTGAGCTAGAACTGATTTTCTGTGAGGTTCTCTTAGGTGTTTAGGTTAACATCAATTATCAATTACAAATATCAGATGCGAAGTAACAAAAGGATCATTCAACAAATTAGGGCCCAATAATATAAATTTTCAATTTCTGAATTTGGAAAAGTTAAGTAATTGTGATTGGGAAATCAATAATGTCTCAGCCATTTCTGTAGTTTGGCTTGGTTAAGATCTCACCACCCTTTACCTATTAACCACAACCAATCAAGTGTTACCCCTGCAAAAATACCTCCAATAAGAAACAACACCAACAGGTTTCCCAAGGCATTTTGTTCCGGTCCCTACAAAAGTAAGAAAAAACACACACACAAAGATTAATTAATGAATCTTAGAATTCTATAACAACAGAAAAAGTTGCTGGTTCTTTTAACAAACCCACCTTGTAACCTTTTGGTGCAGAAGTGAGAACACAGACAGTGAGGTAGCCATTGGATAATCCCAAGAAAGATGTTAACATTATCATCCAACCCTGCCTACCATACTTTGCGGTGAAATAAAATGCTGGTATAAGTAAAAAACGACAAATAGTTGCTGTTGTGAGCAACTTTCGGGACTCCAACTTTAGGGTTTTCAAGAGTGGAATGTATCTTCCGATCAGATCACATACATTATATGCAGCAATTAATACAATAGCGTACCTGAAATAATTGGAAATATCAACTATCATATTGGCACATATTGTGTCTTATCCTAGTGTATTGTGTCTGGTCATAAAGGAACAGGAAAATGGGTGTGAAAGAGATTTTTATGCTTGAAAAGAAGCAAGAAAAAAATGAAATAAAGAATATACCAGGTGCCCAAACTGTGTGATCCAGTATCTTCTGATAAGAATCCAGGGAAAATAGACAGTGTTAGCACATATATTAGGAACAAATCAAGTGCATAATCAATGTTTTCCAACACCAATTGCATGTTTCCTTTGCGCTCTATTTGTTTTGCATCTTCCTCGACCTGAAAAAAGCCTAAGTATCTTATAAACTGAATCTTGGAGAATTAGGAACTTCCAGTGACACATTTGAAAGAGAAAAAGAAGAAAAGAAACAGTACTTCTTCAGGTGGGATCTTAATGCCAGCAGCGGCAAGGTCAGCTGAAACAGTTTTGGATCCTTCAGATGCTGCTTTTGAACGGTAGTACTTCACTATTGGTAATTTTGGAAAGACATAGGCATAGAGAAGAACGCAAAGAAGCTCAAAGAATGTTGATATAGCAAAGAACAGAACTGCAAGGGCAGTATATTGATAAGTGATTAGTAAGTAGTAACTAAATTGTATGAGAGTCTGTACAACAGTCATAATTGTATATAGTTCGATGACAGTAAACAAGAACTGGAACAATCATCACAGAATTTTGATAAGTAGAAAGAATTGCAATTGCTGGTCTAAATAACCATCTAACTGCAATCTCATACGAACCCATATATTAAGTTAACATGGTACTAAAAAGGGTAAACCCCAAACCATAGGGCTCCTCACTCAACTTGCGAGGATAGAGAGGAGAGTCGATTATATCCAGCCTTAATATTATATTTTAGCAGAGAGTCTCTTTGCCAAACTCGAACCTGTGGCCTTCCCTTCAAAAGAAACAACTTTCCATGGCTCAAGGCTCACCTTCTAAGAGTCTGAGTTAACATGATACTAAAAGAATTAATTCCACAATGTTAAAGGAACTACAATCCAATTTCATTTACATTGCAAGGAAAACAGCCATAATCTTCAATAAGCCACATAATCATGAATATCTTCATGAATTGTGGGAAAATAGAGTTGAAAAATCTAGTTTCAAACTTATTCCTGACAAATTTGACAGAACACAAATAAAGCCTAGTAAAACTAGTATAGAAGCTAAAATTGTGTCCATATTAACCAATAATTCAGATAAACTCTAAATTATCAAATGTTTCCATGTTAAGCACTCGAGAGTTGAACTTACTGGCTCCTTTGCGAAGACCATCCTCAGAATTCTCAAATGCTGCTTTTGTAATTAACCTTAAAGCAGATGTTAATGCACCCGATGCTGCTAAACCAGCAAGGAAAGACTGCAGCAATAAAACCATATAAAATAAATGCATATGTTGAAAGAATTATCTAAAACTTCATGGTAATTCAAATTCTGATTCTGACCTGCATGAATTCCGGAAGCATGTAGGACAGGTCTCCCACCATTCCACCTTGAGCATTAGCATCTGCTATTCCAAATGCACCACTAATTGCGCATATACCAATGAAAGTTCCAAGGCCTCCTTTACCAGATGTTGCTAAATCCAACTATGGTAGATTAATAGGTAAAAATAAAACCAAAAGTCAAAACCACATCCTAAAGGAATCAAAGTTTACAAACAAGTGAACAGAACTTACAACTAACACCAACAAAGTGCTTATGAAAAAAAGAGAATATCCAAATAGATTCCGTATCCTTGTATTGATTTTTTCCTCTTTGTAAGCCAGTATAGCTAGTGTTCCAAACGAAAATGGCTGATATACAAGAGTAAGCACCCTAGAGGGGTGGTATTTCTGCACAAGGAGAAAAGGAAATTAATACATTTCCATGCTAAGGCAATCCTGTTATATAAGTTACAACAATAAAAACATCTGAGAACCACAAAATTGAAGATGCACATGGATTAAAAAAAACAAAATATGATCCTTAGAATATGTACTGGAGTGTAAGAAGATATGTTAACCAAATTAAAAAGTTATAAACACTAAAATTTATTGTTCAGAAGGTTTCGTAATTTTAAATTCACAAACTGGCTTTGTAAGTAATGGTACTACACCAGAGGAATGAATGAGTAGCCAAATCAACTGAAGAATGTATCAGAATGTATATAATTACCGGAAACAAGTAAACATAGTAATCTTCTATCGTCAACATACTGTTCCACGCAAAAAGACAACCATTCCCAAGAAGCCAACATACAACTAGTGCAGCATTTTTTCCCTGTTAATGGCAAAGAAAGGAAATGAAGAAATACTGAACGTTTATGTTCCTGAATTAAAGTAATAAACCAGTGATAATTCAGAGCACAAACCTCAAGACGAGTTGGAGGTTCACTGTTGACCATGGCTGCCTTAGATGCTTAAAAATCTTCAATCAAGCTTTACAAGAAGGTAGCAAAACCTTAGCCAAGGACTCAATGTGACAGAATAGCATCTATGACTTCAATTTGTATATTACAACGGGTAACCCTGCCATGCACCATTTAAGTAATTAATTCACGCCACACATGTAAAAGGAAAGAAAAGAATAATAGAAAGAAAATAAAAAAAGTGGCGTCTATACATTCAGTAGAGTAGCATAAGTCAAACTACGTATTTTGTCTGGTCATGATAATTTTGACCCTAGTATATGAATAAAATTGTATACCATATTAATGATAATTCACCACTATACTAATAAATTCTTGCACAGCACAGGTGACAAAGCTAGCAATAAATCATTCATTGAGGCAATGCAATATGCAGCTACATACACCCTAGCAAGGGAAATTATGAACCCACAAAAATCTTAACTTGTGCTAAGCATTAACCTCTTTATGGAAAACCCATTTGAGAAAAATTCAAATATTCAATCACAGAAGTAGAGAAACCAAAAAGATAAGAATGCAGAAGAGATAAGAAGAAACAGAGAAACCAAAAGGATAAGAATGCAAGAAAGATAAGCAGTTATTCTATGAATGCAAGCAACTGCTCATACACACAAAACAAAGAAAGAGAGATTCTAGGACGACCTTTTAGGGGGGCATGGGGGAATCAGAATCTAATTAAATACGCGATCTTATGGCTACGTAACCCAAAATACGTAACCCAAAAGGGAATTTTCAATCCTGGTTTTGTTCAACGTAAAACCTCAAAAGTCAAAAATATGTATCCTTTCTTCTTTAATAACTAATGAGAGATGTTTGGCACAAAGAGTACTCAGTTCCAGTTTCACCTCTGACATTTTGTGGATAGAAAAATGGTAACAAACCGATATATCCGTTTTCAAACATGTTTTGCGGCATGAATTGACTATAATTGTTATGCTGCATAATGATTCAAATAATATATATATATATATATATTACTGTTGATTTATAGTTATTAGTTACCTAAATTAACTTCAATTCGTTACGATTACGGTCACTACGCTAAATCCCCTTTGTTCAAGGCGGTTAGCAATTATAACAATTAATTGAGTCAAAAAAAGATTGAGTTGAAAATATTGTTCAAAAAATCTTCAGAATGCGCCCTCTATATTAACCTAATAGATTGGCAGAAATTATATTTTACTTAGGAAATTCTTATTATATAAAGGGGTAGGATACTCTAACAACCAATTAGCGTTATCAGTAATGTTACTACCAATCAATTTCACCGTTAGATCGATTATGTTGATCCAACGGTTATATTTATTTCCATCTTTGTAAGCATTAAATATGGAAAATCATAACCATACAAAGTTGAAAATAAATATAAAGTATTAAATATGTGGAATCATAACCATACAAAGATAGAAATAAATATAACGCTTAGATCCATATAATCGATCTAACGGTGAAATTGATTGATAATAACACTAATTGGTTGCTACAATATCCTTCCCCTTATCTAAATATTTAATTAAATTATTGGTTGAAAGAAAAAACATAATAAATTACGTTAAACATATTTATACCATTATCAATTAAATATATCAAAGATACTTACAATTAATATTTAAAAACTATGTCTCGATTTTAATTATTTTGCCCATCGGAAACAATATTTATATAGTAACTACTAAAAAAAACAATATTTAGTAAAGAATTTAAATCAGATATGCTATCAATGGTTATCTCATACAATCAATAAGGAATAATAATCCAAAAGAAGGTGATAATCTAATAGAATATAATTAACTAGATACATTTTACTAAAAAAAGAAATGGGTACGCACACTTAAGAGTTCTATAGAAAATTAAATTTTTTTTGCATGACTTAAACTAAATAATAAATACCATAATCATTATCATAAAAATATAAATTGAGTTCAATAGTTTTGTGAAATTTTTTGTAGGACTCCTTGAATTTAAGTTGAGAAATTATTTGAGTTTAGGATTTAAAATAGAATGACGCGCTAATGAATTTGGTATTAATTAATTTATAGAATCTCTCCCATCAATTGGTTGATTAGATTCATTCTAATCTAAATATTAGTTACATTGTACCAAAAAAATAAAATAAAAAATTACTAGCTACAGAAACAAGTAAAATCGGATTTTTAGCAAATTCCAAGATTGCATGCCTATTCCCGACCATCCTATCTTGGTTTTTTTTTTTTCAATTATTTCCTTTATAGTATTCAATTTTTCTTAAAATTTAGATTTCTTCCAAATCAAATTAATGCTAAGAATCTTTGAAAAATTGTTTTGGTGAAATAAAATTATTTGATATATAATCGCTATGACTCCCTTAATACGGATTAACTTTATTTTATTTTTTTGGGTAAACAAATTAACCTTATTACTTTGGGTGAATTTGTATTTATTTAAAAAAATCAATTTTATTATACATTTTAAAATTTATTATTTTTAAGATAAAAGGACTTCTTATTAAAAAATAATTAATTTTTTTCTTAAAAAAACAAAATGGAGCTTTAAAAATCAGAAATTATTATCTCTGACATATTTGCTTGATTTCATCTTTCATATAATAAACTGAATACTTGTATTCTGTGTTTTATTAATAAAAACTCTTAATAAATCTGAAATGGCCGAGTGCAACATTATAATCAATAGCACTTCTATGAATGATTTGTATTAACACTGTAGGAATAGGAGCGTTGAATCTACAATTATTATTTTTTAGTTGGATTCACATAAATGTTGATAACATTAAGGAATTTTGAGTTATGTAAATGACTGAGTGATGTAATTGAATATTTATTTAAGAAGAGGAAACATCAACTTATGCGGGATGAATAACAAGTTTCGTCCACGATATTAATGATTGATTTACATGCATTTAAGTTTAATGGCTCTAATTTTTAATATTTTAATTATGTGAGTTGTTAAATACAAATGAAATAATACTTGCAATCTACTTCTAAGATAATTTTCCGACCCAAAGACTAAGTCAACTCTAATCCTTTGAGGGTACCCCACATTTTCATTTCTAGAGAATTACAGGCATAAATGAAGCTAGATATGCCTCCCAACGAAGTTCCTCTCGACCGAAGAGAGGCATCATAATGTTTCTAACATACGATAAGATCACTCTGTGAGGTTATTCTTGTCTAGTAAAATTTGGATCACGGTCTCCTTATTGCGCTTCTGCCATAAGAACCATGTTGCTACGTAGAAAATTTACATCACAACCTTTTCATTACCAATGTTGGCTGGTTAAGTTTTTATTTATTTCGTGCCTCAAAACTAAACTTTATTTATTTATTTATTTTCTCACCATACTTGTTTCCTGTCACTATATCTTTATCGCTTCATTAGTTTTGAATGTTCTTACCCGTACTTTCGCACACATACCTAATATATATTTCAAAAGGGGGTGGGGCATATGCAACTAGCTCAATTTAGGTTCTTGTTCATGTTATACAAACTTTCAATTCACAAAATATAAATTTGATTATAGAATGTGTTTACGAATTAATAAAGAACAAACTGTTTGATTTCAAATTAAATATAGAAAGTGGAGGGACAGCTTGAAGAAGTCTAAGCCCACCATGGAGCGTCACCTGTTCTGAAATCTGTTTCAACCCAAGGAACAAACACCACCTTTCCATCATCCAAATCACAATGTGCCAATGCCAGAGACTGTAAATCATGAAAAATCATTACACATTCATTACTGTACCAGTAACATATAAGTGTAGCAAAGATAAGCAAAAGATTGAATACTACTGGGGTTTGTGAGGAAACAAATCATAAGAAGTTTGAAAATGCTCTATGTTTGTAAGTCAAAACACCACCGGCCAAATGAATATGTCACTTCTTAATGTCTCAATGTTTTTCAATTTTTATGCCTGTTAGCTGGTTAATTTTTTATTTTCAGTAACATGCTGTCAAGAACCAACTATCCCACAAACTTAAGCTCTTGGTAGAAACACATCAATGATTTTCATATTATATCTAGCATGGTGAAATCTTCATCATGGGCTTATATTTCTCACATTACCCTTCATGCAATCCTAGTTTGAAAAACACATCAATGATTGAATAATGCAAAAGCCATGGTGAAATCTTCGTCACTGGCCCATGTGCTGAAATTCAATTTTTTATATTTGAAGAACGGGGGCAGCTAAGGGGGCGAACTGGAGCAGTAGTAAAACTGTTCCTTCATGACTGAAAGGTCATGGGTTCGAATCCAGGAAACACAGCCTCTTTGCAATTATGCAAGGGTAAAGCTGCGTATAAGGATTTCCTCCACCCCACACTCGCTAATCGGGTCTAACGGGGAGTGGTTTTTGGGAAGAATGGGGGCAGCCAAGATCAAACTATAGACCACTTATTTGTAGAGGCTGTGATACCATATCAAGTAACCAACTATCCCAAAAGATTAAAATGTTAGGTTAACCAAGGTTAATTCTTCTTCACTGGCTTATATTTCTAACAGATGCCTATGTCACCATGGGTGACATTTATAGAATACAGCAAAATGCATGAAGAACAGAAGATTCTGAGGTGCATAATTATCTATAAAATAGCAGGTTTAATTTGCTTACCAGGGGAGCAGGTCCTCTCACAACTCTTCCTTGGTCATTGTACTGGGAACCATGGCAGGGGCAAATGAACCTGTTCTCAGCTCTATTCCATGGCACAACACACCCAAGGTGAGTGCACACCGCATTAATCCCATATGTTGCAAGTGTTCCGTCTTTCTCCACCACAAGGTAGGTAGGATCTCCCTGAAATTAATTTATTAAGGTTGGAAGCTTGACAAAAAATAATTTTCACATCTATGAGATTTGAACTTTTGATTTTGGTTGCTAGAATAACAAATCAAGTTTCTCCTGCATTGTCGCTAGATAAAATAGGCATAATGTAGCAAGATCATTTTTTTCTGAGGAAAGAGAAAAACTAAGATTTGAAGGAAATAAGCAATAGGAAATGTCATCATAAATCAAAATCCTTCTGAGTTTACTGTGTAGTTTACAAAATTTTCACAAGAACCTTTCTTCAGGTCAGGGTGGCCACCCAACACATATTCTGAAGAATCTAATGTTTTCAATCTTTCATGCAAGGCATATGCAGCTAGTGGAAGACCTTCACTTAACATTAAAAAGATGTTTACTTACCTTCAATCCTTGTGTAAGTGTACGGTCCCCAGGGGCATGTGTCTTGAGCCATTGCTCTGCAATTACATCATTTCCAACAGCATCCTTGGCAACAGTACCACCAGTAGAAGATCCTGCCCTGTAAATTTTTTCCCAGTCAGGTTAAAGATTTGGAAAGATCAAGAAATTAAGATTGAATTGTTATAAACAGGCCCTAGGCAGGTATAAAGTTAATCATCAAACATTTGGATGTAAAATGCAATATGCAATGGGCATCATGGCAGATTCTTCCCTTTGTCTACTACTTCTCTATGTGTCCTGTTTTGGCCAACTAATCATATAAGGGCCGAATGGTAGTTTTTTTAGTTTATATGACAAGTGAACCAAATGTCACTACGACCCATTAAACCCCAGCTAGCAAGGGTAGGGTGAAGACAATTCCTGTACCCAATTTTACCCTTGCATATTTGCAAAGAGATGATTTCCCATGTTCGAACTGGTAACTTTTAGGTTACAAAAGAGCAGATTTATCACTGGTCGAGACTCGCCCTCTTAATGTGAGAAGTAAACAAAGTAAAAAATGGAGACAAGATTCCAAACAGTCAGAACTAATCAATTCAATAGTCCTCCCCCAACTTTAGGAAGGTGCCAATTTTGAAATTCCATTTATGATATTAAGAACTAGAATTAACTAATAGTTCAATTACTGAATTAGGAAGTTGCACACTATGCGAAAGGAAGGCAACTCCCAGGTTTACCAATGAAATAAAAAAGAATGCCTAAAGCAAGTAATCTATTAGTTCAATAGGATAAGGTGTTGTAATTAAGGTGCTGCGGCCGCATCACATAACATGTTCTGCAATTTAAACCCTTGACTTAATAATAGATTAATAGTACCATTTTTAACACAATTGCTTTACAAATATTCAAGTTTAAAATTTGGTGGATTTTATGTAATGTTTTCTAAGAAAAATGAGATTTTTGTTATTAATTATCCTTTTGCTCCTTGAAATGCTAGTAAACAAAAAGAAAAGGCATGTGCTAGAACTATGATGGTTAAAAATGGAAAAAAAATATTTAGAAAAGAAAAGAACTGACCCTGGAGGGGCAAAGAAAGTGGCATATGGTATAAGCATTCCAGCACTAGGGAGTGAAATAGCACCAAGAAGAAGCAGGTTCATGAGCTCTCTTTTGCCCATGTCTGGAACTCTATCTGGAGAAATGCTAGTGGCTTGGCAAGTGATTCTCATTCCCTTAGCCTTCCCCATCATCTGGTTCCTCACTGGCTTCACAAGCAGTGCTTTGGAGGGACAGAAGATCCCACTCTTTCCAGAACATAGCTGAAATGAAACACACAGTGTCAGACTCATGCTGGCTTAATAGCACCTAGCTTGGCTAGGAATTAATTATACACAAAAGATTTGGTTTTTTTATCTTTTACTTGCGAAGGGGTTGCAGGGGATAGAGTAGTGGAAGCCATGATGATGTTAAGAACACAAACTAGTTGTTGATGATGAAGATTTTGTGATTTATAATTGAGATGAGATTCATGTGGGGTGGTGGCTTAAGCACCTCAACGACCACAACTATAGTTGCTGGATAAGGTGCCAAGGCCACAATGATGCTAGTATAGCCACATGTTCACCAAATTTAGATTACTTTATTCTTTTATTTTATTTTATTTTATTTTTATTTTTTTGGTCTTCAGCCAACAATAAAATTGGGATTTGTTTTCCTAGTCTATAATGTGGGCTTACTCTTGGTTTAGGCTTCTTAGAAGGCCTATCTACAAGGTCGAAGTCTATTGTTGATGGGGTGGCTCGTGGCCCAACTATTGAAATTGACGTTGTGATGTTGTAGGCCTACGAAAACTTGAGGCCTATACCAACAGTTTCTTTCCAAAGATATGGCCCAAATTAAAAAATTTTAATTCAAAATGGGAAAAGTATATCAAATAGTGATAGTTCAGTTGGTACATAAGAGCTGAGCACGTGAGGATGACAATATGTGTTCGATCCTTTCTAGTACCATTTTTGGGAGGGTTTTAAAATCTTAATTCTGCACTGACCCCGAATCGAACTAGTCGTGAAATGATGAATTGATAGAATATTTTCAAAAAAAAAAAAAATGGGAAAAGTATATTGCTTTTACTGTATAAAATTTTTTACTCACATTCATACGAAATTGAGTAGGTCCCATTATAATAAAAAGAGAGACAAAATTAATGAGACATAATGACATCAATTCATTTTTATGTTAAAAATATTAAATCCTATATTAATATACTGATGTCCTGAACAGTGAAATTAAATTACTTTATCAAGTAAAAAAAAAGTTTAAATTGGATCAATTATAAATATAAAAGTTTTTCCTATCATTATTTTTTTTATAAGGATAACAAATTTGAATTTATAATCTAACGTAAATTAATCAAAATCCTCATAACTAGTTCACTATTAGAGTGTGTTTGGTATAGGTTTTATTTTGGGTTAGATGGGAAAGTGTGGGTGAGTTTTAATGTATACCATGTTTGGTACAAGTTATTGAAAAATATTACTAGGAGACTTGAAAGGATGGGGAACTTGCTTTGTGTTGATTTTGGGATGAAAATTACTGTTTGAAATAACCACTTGAGATGTGATTTTTTGGATATTACTGGGGAAATGAAAGATGGGGCTCGAGTTTGATAAAATTGTGGACGAAATTCACCCTTGTGAATCATCTCCTCGTGGCTTTCTTGCAAATCATCATGCCCATTGAAAAGTCATCAGGTAGTGCAAGTTCTAATTCATCGACCATGTCCTCCATTATCCCTTTCATTTCCCTGTATAGTGGCTATGGCTTGTGATATGCGTTTAGCATATGATACTTTCTAAGTTAAAAGAAGCAAGAAATTAATCATAAATGTGTGAAAATAAGTCATAAATGCAAGAAATATTGATTATTCCTTCTCAACCATTCTCTCACTCAATTTATGTGTTTTAATAGCAGGAAACGCCAAAAAAAGAAGTGAATGAGAGAAATGCAGTTTTCCAGCTGGCGCACTTTACGCGGGAATTGGCGCAAAGTGCGCCATTTGATCCAATTCGTCCCTGTATCTTGGCGCAAATGCGCTGGAGGTGGCGCAATGTGCGCGGGCTTGGCGTACTTTGCGCGGGAGTGCGCCATTTGACAGCTTCCACTCTGTTTTCCCATGCAAATTCCGCCAGAGTTGGTGCAAAGTGCGTGGGCGATACTTTTAATTTTAATCTGATGCGAATTACTCAAAAAGGAGGCCCAATTGGAGAGCAATTGAAAGGAGGTTTTCCCAAAACCTAATAAAAGGATCAGAAACAGAGGAAGGAAGTACTTTTTGACAAAACGGAGAAGAAAGACAACAAAGAGAGGGAGAATTCTTAGGAGCTTCTTGGAGTTCCAGAGAATCGAACGATCAAGACGGAAGATCTTCATCTTCTTTCTCTTCTTTAGGTTCTGAATTTTATTTTCTTTTGTATTGATTTTGGCAGACATGAATATGTCTGGCTAGTTTTATTATTGTGGTAAGGGTCACAACCCTTGATGTGAACCCCTTGTAGTTTGGTTGAAGTTTATGTTTATCTATTTAATTGAATTTATATTTCCTTGTTCTTCATTTTACAATTCTATTGGAACTGATCAATCTATTAGGATTGCGAGGGTTAGGGTTTTCAATAGGGATATTAGAATTCTAATTCCTGACAAAGGGTAAGACAACTGTTCATGTATGCACTAGGGATAGGCTACATGAACCGCAAACGATAAAGATTAATTGATTCTAAGGGTTAACTTGAAAAGGAATTTCTAAGGGATTATGATTCTAATAGAGTTAATAAGGTTAAAGTCATTAAGGAATTAGGGCTTAACTAATCATATAAAAGATGATGAATCGTTTGATCAATTGAATAAGTAAACGTAAATGTAATCCAAGTTGTAAGGTGGGGATCGTAAAGGTGTTTGTTTCTCTTTACCGCAATATTTTCTCAAACATTTTCTCAACCTTCAATCTTTTGTTCTTGAATTCTAAAAAAACTTTTGAATCATTTACATTTTCATGTATTGTTCTTATTCATTTCACAAACAACAATTGTTCTTAAAACCATTTTTATTAATCCAACAAGAGAGGAATAGTTATAATAACTTTGGTGCCTCAGTTCTCGTGGAGACGATACTTTACTCATCATTTTATTACTTGGTACGATCGGTACACTTGCCGATTTCCCAACAGCATGCCTATACACTATTTAAAAATATTTAATATACTTTATAAATATAAGGGATATTTTGATAATTGTAACTCATTTTCCCATCATTATTTTAACTCAAACAAAACATAGATTTTATAATATTTACCAAATTTTTTCGGTAAATTTTTTTTCTACCAAACAATTTTTTTACATTTTCCTACCAAACTCACTTTTCAACCATTTCCTTAGTAATTACATTTCCCTAGTATTCAAAAACTTTCTCCTCAACCAAACGCCCCCTTAGAGGCTTACCTATCTTTTTTTTCCAATTATGAGCTGACATAGTATTGAAAAGATTTACTTTTTAATTAGGTAGTTATTGATATGGTTAAAATTATATTAGGTATATGTAATACGTTATCAAATAATAATACAATTTTTTTTCCGCTAATTCTATATCGAAATCACATATAAATAAAAATTAATGAAAGTATAGGAATTATGACCTAAATAAATGTTATAACAAACCTAGCAAGTAAGAGCAATAGCTTTTTAACCAATATTTTAATTTTATAACATAGTTTTAGCTGAACCCTTCAAATAAATTTACTTTTATCAGGAAAAAAAACCACTAAGATTTACATGAGGAAGATTAAAGTTTAAACTTAAAAAAAAGAAGAAAAATATTGGTAGAGTCTCCTGACGACAATGCTTGAAGAATTAGTCTCCCAACAATATTTGTGAGAATACTCCAATTAAAGAAAAAAGTTAAAAAAATATACAACTCATCTTTAAACAATTATCTCCACCAAAAATATTCTTTGATCTTTTTTACAAAATGTTCAACACAGATAGCACTCGGGTTTTACTTGATCTTGAGGATGAGGAAAGGAAATTAAAATATAAAACTATATAGTGGATGCAGTGGCGAAGCTAACAAAGTATTTTAGCCAGAGCCAAAAATTTCAGTTGGTGTCAAAATAGCTACGGTTATATATAGCTACGACCAAAACATGGCTAATTTTCAAAAAAATTGAAACATGATTTGTTACGTTTATTTAGCTACGCTTGACACATGGCTAAATTAGCCAGTGCCAAAATACCTGCTGGTACCAACATGGCTCCACCACTGAGTGGATGGGAATACAATCTTTCGTGTTTATTCTCAATTATGTTTTATTAATAAAAAATACAACTTACACTAACAAAGCCCAACATAGTTGGTAGATAATTGGGTCCCTTAAACAAGCTGATAGAGATTCGATCACTGGCCGTGTATATGGAAAAAGGCTTTGTTGGCAAAGATTTACCCACTTCATGTGATCTTCCACCTCGAAAGGATTAGTCTTCGGCTATCGACCGAAGGATACCTTAGGCAACCAAAAAAAAATCCAGCTTACCAAAAAAACAAAGAAAATTTCATGTGATCTCCTGTATCGAAAGAATTAGTCTTCAGCTGTTAGCCGGAGGATACCTTTGGCAACAACCCAAAAAAAAATTCTGCTTACCAAAAAATAAAAATAAAATCAATCAAGGCAGAAATCATTATCAGCGAGCAAATTTTTATATTTTAATAAAGGGAAATACTTTTCTTATGTTGTAGGAAAATAGTTACCTCATGTGCTATGGAATGGTGTTACAACTAAAGAATTTAAACCATCTAGAGGTCTTCGACAAGGGGATCCACTTTCTCCATATCTCTTTGTCTTGTGTGTAGAAAGACTTGCGCAAATGATTAAGTTCGCAGTGGATCAGAATGCATGGAAGCCAATATACCTCAAGAGGAATTGTCCTCCCATATCACATTTGGTTTTTGCTGATGACCTTCTCTTATTTGTAAAGGCTTCCATTGAACAAGCTGATATCATGACCAGGATTCTCGATTGTTTTTGTGCTTCTTCGGGTCAAAAAATCAATCATGAAAAAACACATGTTTATTTTTCCAAGAATATAACCATGTTAGAGCAAAAGAGGTGTGTGATGCTCTGGGTTTTAGTGTAACAGCTGACCTGGGCAGATATCTTGGAGTTCCTATTCATCATCGTCGTGTTGGGAGGAATACTTTTAACTATGTTCTTGACACGTTGAGGAATAAATTGTCTAACTGGAATCAATCCTCTTTGTCTTTGGCAGGTAGGGTGACTCTTGCAAAAGTTGTTATTACAACCATCCCCATGTACTCGATGCAGACTAGCCTTATTCCGGTGTCCACTTGTGAGGAGATTGAAAAAATAACAAGAAACTTTGTTTGGGGTTCTTCAGCAGAAAATAAAAAACCTCATCTTGTTGCTGGAGCCGAGTTTGTCAACCTAAGGAGCTTGGGGGTTGGGGATAAGAAGTATGCGTGATACTAATAAAGCTTTCCTTATGAAAATTGGGCACGACTTATTAACGCATAA